TGCTCAAAAATTGAGGAACCTCGGATTTCGGAACTTTGGAACGCTTCGGAACTTGGCTGACCGCGGCGAGCCGGATCGCGCGTTGACGGGTGCGCCGCGAAAACGTGAATGGGCGCGATGTTCACGATGCTGGATCTTCCTCAATGTTTAAGCAAACCTAGCATATGTATACACCATTTTCTTTCAAATTATGTCAGCTGTTCAAAACATTAACTCAATCCGGGACTTTTTCTCATGCGTAGCCGCTATATCAATAAAACCGCAAAAAAGGCCTTTTTAAGCCATTTTTTCAAAATGGCGGAATATGCTCACCAGATACGCGGTTGGAAACTTCAGATTCGGATTCAGCGACCCAAAAAACATATTGTAGGTCAAAAAATCGCTGTGTACCCAAAATTCTAGGTGGCCTCATTTTTAGCTACCAGGCGCCTGGACTAGATCTCTTCGACTTGTGGACACGGGCATCGAAAAAGGAGTGCGTTACAACAATTGAGGGGAAACTCCGCAGAACTATTCGCAAACAAGCGTGTCTCAGACGAAGATTTGACAAAATGTCGTGTATTTTTTATGGATTTTGTGTATTTTTTATGGATTTTGTGTGTTTTTATGGATTTTTTGTTTTTATCTTTCTTTTTTCTCTTGTCTCTTGTGAAGTTTAAGTTTGCTGTAAATTTTCGGTGATGTTTTACTGTGCTGAATTTGTTATTTTTTGAAATGCCTTTTCCTTTTTATTAAAGACTTGTAATATGACCAAATCCAAGTGTTCGTCCTTTTTCTCATGCTGATCCTCGGAAACCTCATTATTTTATAGTGTATGTTTGAATTTTTCAGCTTTCATTTCACGCAGCATTGAAATTGGGAATGAAAGAAAAGATAGACCTTAGTTTTGTTAGGCCCAGAGTTAAAAAATAAAATATGCATCGTTAGAATCTGTAAGTATACAGTCGATATTTGGAGTGAGCTTGCGTGAATCGATACATTTTAATCCTTGAATTATTGCTAAAAAAACTGCTTTTTCCAGGCGCGTTGGCAACACTGTATTTAAAATGGAGGTGTTATGAGAGGGCCAGATATACCCTCGTAAGCCTTATTAGTAGTGATTTCAGGTTGGTTTTCTCTCTTTCACCCACAAAAATAATGTACTCATGTCATTAAAATAAGTGGAAAAATAACGGCACATTTGGCAAAATTTTGCAACACCATACTCAATCATTTGGGAAATTTTGGAAACTTTGACTTTAATACAAGCAAGTACATGATGAATACTTAACACTGTCAAAATTTCATTGAATTCCATGCATTATTCGATCAGATATGAATTATTTCCCATCCGCCCATAAGGACACTGCACTGTGCGACAGAGGTATTGAAAAATTCAACTCTTATAGCAGGTTATCAGCTCACGCTGAATAAGTATGCCTGTGTGGTACTTTGAGATTATTTTATAGCTTTTTTGAATTTCCATAGTTTGATTGAAGTTTTCCCTTATGAAAGATGCACTGAAATATTTTTTTTAAGAGATAATGAGGGGTTAGTTATATTCAACAAAAATCCTCCCGTGTAAAATTGTAAACTTATGGGTACAAGATATCCCCATACACACCTATCTTGATAACATAAAGCTGGTTTTGACGGAGAGATGCAAGAGTTTGTCTTTTTCGTGAGTCAAGTACGTGATTACGATTTATTGATTCGTATTCAAAAAGAGAAACACGTCATTCCAGCAAAAACAGTGGTTTTATTCTGAGTGAGTTTCCACTTTAAATTACTCCGTTTTATTACTCGTTTTCTTTCTCGTTGCTTTTACGGCTTTTTGCGCATTAACTTTTTATTTTTTTTAAAACTTCAATCCGAAGCAATTCACCTCAAGTGTTATTTAATGCAATGAACATGCTTTACATGCACTTTGCAATACGCAACACTGCACCGAAGACAGCTAAGATTGCATTCAATTTTATGATGTGCAATTTGTCCATTTCTCTTCAAGATGAAAGTTGGCACAATCAAAAACTGTCTTATACGTGATAAACAAATGATTTTCCACAAACGCCATATTTTAATAAGTGTGATCCTCTAGGCTTTAAGAATCACTAGAACTTAATATATTGGTTTTAGATAAATCAGAGCAACTGAACCAGAGTTCCAATAAAGCAAACAGTTGCTCGCTGGCCCAATTTACAAAATCCAGGATTCCAAAAACATCGTGCGTGCCAGTGTCCCCCGTGATTGTCAGCTTATGCTTCTTTTTTTTAAAAATTGTGCGTGTGTTTTGTAGCATCGGTTTTTTAAAGTTTTGCGAGCGTGTTGCAGCATCGTTTTTTTTTTTTAAAAAAAAAGTTGTGCATGCATCAGCAATAAAAAACAAAAAGTACATCGAAAATTTAGTCGTAAAAGGTATGCTGTTTTTATTGTTTTCTCAAAATTAACAATTTCTCCACTTTTTTCGATGTCTTCAAGGAATCTTCAGTTTAGCGGTACATCCGCTTATGACGTCGGAAATAGTTTACAAAAACGTCTTCTCAATTCAAATTGGACTCAATTGGTGCTACAATATTAGGAATGGGCTAAATATTCGGCGATTAATTTTCCTTTTTTTTAAAAATTTATATCGGTTCCTAAGGGCGGCATTGCTGTCACGAAACTAAAGAAACTTATAAAAGATTGGAAACCTCCGTGAAATATTGTACATCATGGAATTCCACAAGGTAGTAAAATTTTTGAAAAATATGAAATATTCATCGCAAGAGTGTGATATGTAACCTGCACCATAAAAAATCAAGACCAAAAATCCTTAAATTTTTCATCCAACTCCAGAGTTGAATTTTCCTTCATCGTTCAGGAAACATGCATGAGTGATAAAAATGCAGGAGTAATCCAACAACAATTTTACCTCTAAACAATGTCAGCAGAGCTTTGATACTTATTCAGCGTGAGCTGATAACCTGCTATTAGAGTTGAATCTTTCAATAGCTCTGACGTGTGAGTGCAAACGAAATTGATCACGGCGCTTAGATGCAACTAGACGTGCCTAACAACTGTCCATGTTGCATACACAGAATATTGAAGGCGTTTTTGAAACGCGTCACTAATGGACGACTAGACAAGGTGCGAGTTTAAGCATTATTAAGTATTTGATATTTATTTAGAGTGGGCTAATAATCTGAGATTAAAGTTGAATCTTTCCACTTTGAACCAGTCTTGCTCAAAATATGCAATAACTCATTTTTGTTTTGTTTTCCAAAACCGTCACTTTCGCCCTCCATTACCTGGGACCTTTAATGACAAGATGCAAACTCAAAGGATCGATAGTAAAATCTGTAGGCTGCATCTGTGTAGCTTTACTACGTTGATTGGGAATTATATCACGCGTATCAGCTAATCAAAAGCGGGGTTTTATTAAAAGATTCTTTCACTCAATTTTTTCTCAACGTATTACGCGCATTCCTCATTTGCCGGTCGTTTTCATGACATCAAATAATTTCAAAAGGAAGAGAAGAGACAATGGCTTCATTTGGAAAGGCGCCTTAGTTCCAAAGGCTAAACACTCATTTTTTTAATTTTCAAAAACGTCATTCACACCCTCCATTACCTGGAACCTTATACGACTCGTTGCAAACTCAAAGGATCGATCGTGTAATCTGGAAGCTGCATTCAACACGGACAGTGAGATGCTTGGATGTAGATTACTGAACTGTTTTGAGTGATTGCTTTTAATAGAAGATTTTTAAACACTTCAAAACAACTTTTGTTAAAAAAAATGAAAAAAAATGAAAGAACGTCATTTCAGTCTTAACTACCTGAAAGCTCCAACCGCACACTATGCAAACTCAAAGAAGCGATACACTGCCGCGCTAAGGAAGAACGTCGTACAAACATTCAAGAGTTGCCAAATTTCCTGGATTAAACGAGTATTTTTGAGGAAGGTTATTCATATTTTCCCTTGAAATTTTAAGAAATCTTATGTGCTGGTTACACGCTCAAATTCCCATCAATTTCCGATCAAATGGTCACTGGTGCGCACCATCATCGCGCGATGGAACTGTAGGGCTCATCCGTCATCTGATTTCCACACAACCGTGCTCATTCCATGCTCATTTCAATCAACACGCTGTTTTAATTAATTTTACTCATTAATCTAGATAACTCTTGACCGCCATCTTGGTCATCATTTTGATCGGAATTTGACGGAAATTTGAGCGTGTAACCGAGCCGTATGATTCAATTCTGTACAAAATTGCACTGAAAATGTAACGAAAACTATCCAGTAGTTTCCTTGAACATTTGTACTTTATCGGAGGAATTTCGGCAACGCCTGAAGGCTCATAGATCGTTTTTCCTTTGCACGGCAGACACAAAACGAAGCTCAAAGAGGCGATAATAGAATCCGGAGGCTGGATGCAACATGCGGGAGTCGGGGGTGTAGCTTACCATATTGATTGGGGATGATATCGGGGTTATCATCGGCGGACTTGTGTTCCTGACAGGAGTTGTTGGGGATGAGGAGGACCCCTGGGCAGGAGGTGTTGACGGGCTCGAGCTTGACCTGCGAGCCGTGCTCCATTTTTCGCTTGCGGTAGGCGGCCACGAGCAAGGCGCACGCCACCACCACCAGCGCCAGACACACCGTCGCGAATCCCGCCAGCACCGAGCTTATGTGCAGCCCGCGGGAACCTGGAACACAACCGTGAGAACGTATTAGAGACGCCGAACTGCGGACTGATTATTGAAATTGGTGGACAAAGCTGAGGACAAAGCTGAGGACAAAGAAAACATAGGGAGTATGGAGCGATCCTATTGGTTGAAATGGTTGGCTCCTATAGACTAAGGGAGAAAATGATAGACTAACTGGACTGCACTTTGCAATTTGGGAGTATAAATTCTGGTTCCTCTGGAAAAACACTGTGTCATTAGTTTCCCTATGCACATAGGTTGTTTCTAAACCGGGCTAGAATTTATAGTTCCAAATTGCAAAATTTCCAGATGTCGGGTCTCATGTGGGTTGCCGTCAATTAATCTATTACCTTCCTTCTTTGTCCATTGAAACCATCCGCTTCCACCAAAAGGATCTCTCCATATCTCTTTTGTCTTTTTGTCTATAGCTTTGTCCATCATTTTCAATAATCGGCCCGCTGTGCAGAAAGGCATTTGAAAAGAGAACATATTCAGGGTCCAAGTTTCTTCAAATTCTTCTGGCCCGACATTCATCAATCATCAATGGGTAAGTTGCGCCGGTCATAGAATCGTGTTTTGATACTTGATTCTTGTAGACTAGCTAAAAACAATAAGATTCGTACAAACAGTGACTTTCCACGTTCAGTATTAACTGAGATATCGCCTTCTGAAAAGTCGGGTTTTTGACGTCATCCACCGCGGTAGTGACACCCTTGGTTTCTTCCACGTTGATAAAACACACAAGGAGACATACAAGGTGTGATAAAACACACAAGGTGTGATAAAACGCACAAGGTGTGTTAAAACACACAAGGTGTGATAAAACACACAAGGCGTGATAAAACACACAAGGTGTGATAAAACACACAAGGTATGATAAAACACACACGGTGTGATAAAACACACAAGGTGTGATGAAACACACAAGGAGACACCCTAGGCGTGATAAAACACACAAGAAGACACACCCTAGCACTGATTACTCCACGTGAAACGCGGATGAAAGCAAGGTGGAAGAGACCGAGGGTGTCACTACCGCGGTGGATAACGTCAAAAACCCGACTTTTGAAAGGGCGATATCCCGGTTAATATTGGACGTAGAAAATTGCGGTTTGAACAGGTCTTAATATTTTTAGCTAATTTACAAGAACCTAGCATCAAAACACAATTCGATGACCAGCACCACTAACCAATTGGTGAACTCGAAGGTAAAATCGAAGGTTCAAGAGGTCAATAATGGCTCTCAGGTGCATTAACAGACACTCTAATGATAATGAGTACCTAAAATTTCTGCAAAATTTGAACATAAAGTGGTCCCTGGGCGGAAAGAGCAGAGATTCCCGGTTTCTGAAACAGATTCCCTGATTTTTCACTGAATTTACCTAAGATACTTCATTCCCTGATGATTCCTAGTTTTTCTCGATCCTTGACAACATGCTTTTAAGGCACATTCTGCTTAGGAAAGGACTCAAATTATTCAGCACAGCGGAAAAATAGATGGGGTGGAGGAAGGGAGTCTTGGGTTGCAAAAATAGACTCTCGGTTTTTGATATTTTACATAAGAACGACATTCCTTGAAAATGAAAAAAAACCTTGATTTCAATGCTTTATCTCACTCAATTTTGTGCTGGTGGTCCATGGAAAATCTCTTTCCTCAGAGAACTACGTTCTGGTTTCGGAATATTTGTCAAACGCCTTCCTCGCTCGGATATCAATAATTCACGTTCGATTTTTCGTGGGCTAAGGTTTTTTTTCCCCCGTTGACGGTCACATTTATATTTAAGAATCGAAAACTCTCGAAGGCCTTTGCACCCTATGAACGGCGGGGTTGTTCCTGGAGCCACCTGGAAGCCTACTACGGAACCCACGGACAGAACGTTGTGACAAACGAAATTGTCAGGCCGTAAAATAAAGTTAAAACTGCGGCCAAAAGGACGGCCACAAATCAATGAGCATCTAGAATTCTCGCCGGGGATGGTCGAACACTCCACCGCTGCCAACCCACCACAAAAAACCCGAATATCTCGATTCACTCATTCATTATTCGAGAAGTAACTAATACAGAGTGGCAACACCGCGTTGAGTGAATCTTTTATGCTCGGATTGGAAAAGCGCACGGATGCCGCTGGGAAGTGAGGTCGCAGGGAGAGTGACCGCTGGTATTTTGGTTTGGTGCGTGGATGTGGCAGCACTGGCAGAGATCGGAAATACATTATTCAAAGGGAAACGGGTAGCCAAGAGCACGAGCTCAAAAATTATCCGTGATCCTGGGCAATACGTCATAATATTTTTCGGGCTCCGACGCCGGGTTCCTCGGCCCGATAAATTAGCCGTTTTCGGGGTCTTGCCGGGCGGGTTGCATAAATCCAGCCCCGGAAGGCGCCGTTCGAGTGCCCGATGGAAATATCGGTGGTAATTCTCCGGACTGTGAGGATCCTTGGATGGGTTGAAAATAGGGGAGCGAAAATTATTTCGCACCGGATGTGACGTCTTATGGGTACTTCAGAAAAGTAGGAAGAATTATTTGAGTTTTTTTGAGGATCGGTAGTTTCGGGGTTTCGATACACATTTTAAAGCAGGATAAAGCAAAATAACTTAGCCCAAAAATACGGATACAATAGAATATAATCAAAAGGGTAACAAATGGGTAAATTAAGGCTATTGAAGGATATTGAAAAAATAAAAAGAGGGGGACTTTTCGCGTCGTCCGCTCTCATTTCGCTCCAATATTCGAAATTCTGCAAAATGTTGATGTCTGCTATTTTCTTTTGCAGGTAAAAAAGCTTATGACGGCTCAAAACGTCTTGTTTTTTAAAAGGTTATTTTAATGCACGTGGCCTTGTAATACCCATGTTTCACTTTTTTTAAAGCAAAATCAATATGTTTTAAACAATTGTCATTAATAATCCAAAGCAATGTGATCGAGTATAGCTAAAATGAGATTCGGAGATGAAGAGGTCTTTTTCAAAATGTTGATTGATGAAAAACTTGCTGAGCAAAAAATCGAATAAAATTCTCCTGATCATGACTGAGGGGTGTCGGGATGAGCACTTTGCTAGGCTATATTCAATGTATTCCTGCCAAACAGAACTATGAGCATTAAGATATGAGCCCTGAGACCCTGAAGAATATATGCGTAACAGGGCTCACGTCATAATGCACATTGCACATAGTTCCGCTCGGCAGAAATACGTCCAATTAGGTTTTGCTAAACCAATGGATCACTAAACCATGAATGAATTTTAACTTGCGAATACATTTTTTCGAGGATAAATGACGCAGAGAATACAATGCACACATTTAAGATGCGAAAAAATAACGCAGAAACCGAAAAATACTCCGTTCAGAAAGCGTAATTTTTCCGCTTTAAAACGCCGCAGTTTTGCGCTGAACCGAATGATGCCCGGCACCAAGTAGATGCGAATACGGGTTTTTACGACTTCCATCAAATTTTTTTCTACTCCTCGTAAATGGAACCAAAATGGAAATCAGAGCTACATCTTCAGACTGCCACAGTACGTCACTTCCATCAGTTTCCTCGCCATACAGAAATTCCTTTGAGTCTTTAGACTCTTGAAAGCGGTCGACTTATCCAGAATTTGGGCTCCAAAAATTAGCAATAAATCATCATGCAATATCCTCACTCAGTACTCTCAGAATACTAAAGACACCGAAAGAAAATGGATGTTAATTTAACATTCTTGATGTAAAAAAAGTGTGCGAGAACCTATGAAATGCTGAAATACCCTCTACAGCAGTTACTTTAGTAATGCCAAGATGTAAAACTAACTGCTAAGACGGAAAATTCAGCATTTCATAGGTTCTCGCACTTTTTTTATATCCAGAATGTTAAATCAACTTCACTTTTTTTCGGTGCAAAAAAACCAGGTTTAGTAACCCATTGCTGGGGCAATAGATAGAATTGGCCAGTGATCCATCATTACTATTGTTAGCATTTCTGACAATATGACTCCATCTCCTAAGGATGCTCACGTATGTTCATTATTTGGGACTATCTTGTTTCATGAAGAGCACAGCATGACAACTCTGTGCAAAGATCAAACGACAGCTTAAAAAAGGCTTCTTGAATCAATATAGGCGCACCTGGGCACCGGAGCTGGGAGGAAAACCACTCCAGGATTGGGGCAAACTATAAAAAAATACGGGGGCAATAGAAGAGCAAGAGGCCGGTTAATGGAGCGATTACAGTTTGTTTTCGATTCCACGCGGGACGGGCGATCGGTGGCGAATTGGGTCACGAGGGTACTTATACTGCCGCGGTACCGGACAGGAGCCCCTCTAAGATACGGGCCAAAGGCTCCCTTTAAACTTTGCCCTCGGGAGAATTATGACCTCTCCCATCTTCATAGAGACCGAATATATGCCAATGCTCAACCTTCCTAGGAAAGAACAGCGTATAAACATTCGGATCCCAAGTAGCAGTGATCGCGATAAGTTGCGATTCGATCGGAAAATGTGTTGCGATTTTATTGACGTAAATTTTCTTGAAATATTAATGGATAGAAATTGTGATACATTGCGATTTCATCGTATAAATTTGCGATAATTTTATCCCAGTATCATTGAACAAAAAATCGAGATAAATTGAAATTCAATTTCGATTTCATCAAACGCGATTTTATAAACATAAAATTGCGACAAAATTGAGGATATCGCTCAGATGATGATCCTTATGATTTTAGGCAATAAAACATCGTAAAAAAAATTTGCAGAATAATCGCAACTTACTTTCAAAATATCGCAATTTTTCCGTTAAAAAATGCTACGAGGGGTCTTGCCAAGTGCGATAGCCAGCTGATCATTGAAACTGATGGACGAAGCTATAGACAAAACGCACAGGAAAAAGGAACGACCCTATTGGAAAATCAACGGAAATAAATTCAGAAGTCGACTAATTTCCTCTGATGTTTTATTTCTTCAACTGAAAAGTAATCAGAACTTAAAACTATGCGAGTTTATACATTCTGTATAATGTAAAG